GGGCAGCTGAGGAACTCAGCAGGGTGTTTGTTCTTCTAGTTATATACTTTCGGTTGGAATGGGAATATGTGACAAACCACAAAGTTATTTTTATCCCATTATTACCTAACACTGCCTTGGCCTTTGGCACACGCAAAGGGTTTTGGTATCATCCTTTGAGCTTTATTCATTAAAACAAACAAATTGTAGCAGTAGCCACAGTAAAATATTCTCCATACTCTAGGACTCATGCTACTTATTTTTCTTATATTTCCTATAGCTGCAACAGTGAGTTTAGTACACATACAAGGGACTCAATAAATGTTAATTAAATAAAATTTGGCTCACTCCAAATCATGATACTAGAGTGTTAAAAGAAGCATTAAAGCTCATATAAGCCAATCCCCCATTTGATCATAAGGTTTCCCACTAAATACTGGCTTTTACATGACTAGTGCAGTGATAGGGCACTTACAGCCTTAAACATCTAGAGCAGCTCATTCCATGAATTTCTTCCCAAATCCACTGAAAAGAAAACTGGCTCTTATTGGCTCCACAGGGAATAAAGAAGACTGTGGTCCAAAAATAAGATCATCGTCATCCTCATTGTGTAATATATAAGACTTAGGTCTGACTGTGAGGAAGAGCAGTTTAGGATGATGTAATTGTAGGAGTACAACTATTTCACCAGATTTTTGATACCCCATTCTCTCTCTCCCTCAAAATGAGAATTTATTTCAATTAGAGCAAGTGTCATACAGGGAGTATAATACTTTTACAGTACAGACATGCTGTAAATGTATCATTTTTCTAGTGTCTATAAGTGTTTTGGGTTGAAATAATAACTTCTGATTTATTGATTTCCAGGTCAGTCTACTAACTAGAACATAATTTGCTCAAACTTGGACACTTAACCCTTCATATTTCTCTCAGCCTACTAGCCTTCCATTTCCTCATATAGACTCTTAGCAAAGGAGGAGTTAAAAGCACAACTTATAAAATTTGTAAGTTTTGCAGTATTTCAGTAAAATATAGAGAACCATTTTATAATTCTAGGTATAGGCCCAAACCAATATACACTTAAAAGTTACAGATATTAAAATATCCTTTGTGTGTGTGAGTGTGTGTGTGCACACTAAAGTCAGATCATGCTCTTTATTTCAAATATTTTAAGTGAGCTTCATCTTGATGGGGGCATAAAAGCTGGCTTCTCATCATAGTGATGACATGTATACCTTTAACCTAGGAAGAGCTCCACTCATAGTTTAATTAGTCAGTGATAACCTAATGTTCTATGAAGTGTTGGTACACTACCTTGATTTACTTCTTGCAAGATGACATCCATGCAGGCTGTGCAGGAATAAATGGAAACAGGAATAAAAATGTACTTGTGTCAGTAAATACTCAAAGGAGGGTAGAAGATAAACAGAAATGGTAGGAGGTCCAGGAATTGTGGCAGAACAGGCTCATTGGAAATTGCCTCTTGTTTTAATAATTACATTTTAGTTTATTAGGGCTCTAGGCATTAGTATAATTCTAACGTTCACCTACAAAGTGCCTGGCTGGTTTCAAATTAATATAATGTAAGCTGCCTGGGAGTTGGAGACATGTTTCTGTGGGTCTGTCTAGTAAGCTCACATTTCAGTTTTGCATCTGAGGGTAATATATTATTTTCATGGGCAGCAATTTCATGAGTAGATTTAAATCCCCAGTTCAGTGAAATTACATATTGGTCAAGTCGTTTATGAAACCAGTTCTAAAAAGTGACTATTTATGACAATACATTTGCAATTAGTCTCTTAACCTTTAACTTCCAATTTTGTTTTCTGAAATGTCATTCTTCATAGATTGTATTAACAAGTTTTCAACTTGTTCCAAAGTTTTAAAATTATTTCTTGTTTACAAACATCATCTGAAACTTAGTTATAAAATACTATATTGGCATGTAACTTTAAAGAACACAAATAACAATGTGTTCTAATAGAAAATAATACATTCATTATAAATAAATGCCTTTTTTTTTTTTTTTTTACCTACATACCTTTTTTTCCCTTTTACAGAGAGAGGAAGGGAGAGGGAGGGAGAGAAACAAACATGGATCAATCGGGGTTGCTTCCCACATGCACCCTGGCTGGTGACCGAACCACAGCCAGGCACAAGCCCTGACATGCACAGGACAATGCTCAACCAACTGAGCCACACCGGCCAGGGCTCACTTAAGTACTTTTATTCAAACTAAAGGACTCTGGGCTACTAAACAGACATCCTTCCCTTGTAAAGTAACAAAATAAACACCTTGAGATTTCTACTTAGAGAAACTTAATAAAATAAGAGAGAGCAGAGTATCAGAGTCATAAGGTGCTAGTAGAACAATATGTGAATTTGTATATCCTATGTCCAATTACATTGTTAAAGAACTTTGAACAGACTGAAGAAAGATGTGATGGTTTAGATAGTCAAATCAACTGCAGCGGAAAAGCTCATTTTAGGACTACTAGTAATACAGTATTCCTTATCAACGTTTGCCATTTGCCACTCCTCTTTCCTCATTTCTATTAACGTGGATACTTAACACAAATATGATTAGTGAGACTGGAGAAAAAAAGAGAAGCCTCTGAGATTTAATATTGAAAATGTAAAGGACAGTGGAGAGAGATTACAGAGCTAAGTGAGGTTAAGATAAATCTTGGAGTTAAGACTTTTTTTTAAAACAGGGAGAATGCTTGGTTTAATGACACAAACAAAAAAATACACTTAGGGTTAGGATTCGGTGGAAGCATTGACCATCTGTAAACTCCTAGAGGGTAGGGACTATATGTTGTCCTTACAAGCAAAACTGTGTCTAGCATGTAGTAGCTGTCCAGTAAATGTTGAATGAATCAATATGTGACTCAATATAGTCATAATGGCAAGACTTAGTTTTAGAGACATTATTTTGGTTCAAGGGCTACTACTTATAGGTAGGGCTGGAAATGTTTATGTAGGGGCAAATTGGGCCAGGTTTCAGTGCCAGCTTAGTCCAAGACAAGTGGATTCCCCCCCCCCCATTTGCGTTTGATTTGCACCGCATTGTACAAAGGATTTGGGTGATTGGGAATGTGGAGTGAGTCTAATAAGGCTTATAATATTGTACCCAAAGCATATTAAGCATATTCATCCCATGCCAACTTAGGGGCATATTTCTCAAGTTATGTTTATTTAGGTTCCCAGTCTTTTTTATTGTTAGTATTTGCCATTAGTTGTCATTCATTCATTTATTATTATTATTATTATTGGAACATGTTCTTCGATCCTTCAAAATCTTGCTCAATCTAGGCCCCAAATGTTCCTTTAAGTCTCTGGGTAAAACGACTTTCACTGAAGTCAGTGCCCAAAGCCTCACCCACTGAGAGGCCTTAGGAAACCTGGGACTTTCCTGGCGGCGACTCAGCTGTCAGCAACCACGGGGCGCACGGGAATCCCACGGCGGGCACTCGGGTCTTCCCCAGGGGAGGCGCGGCCCCCTCCTCCTGGCGTTGGGCCGCCTCTCCCCAGCGCCCAGGCCAGCTCCCTTTTCTCTAACTAGCTCGGGGCCCTCGCCCCGCCCCCGGCTC